ATATGAAGGAATCTTTGAATATTAAAGATTCCTTTGTATTGGTGATTTGATATTTTATTTGAAATAGTAATTGACAAATATAATGCATAATCCGGTTTATAGTTCGAAACATATTATATAATAAATAGTGTTTTCGAAATATACTTTAAAACTACTGCATTTAGAAAAAAAATTCTTGTCCTAATAATTGCGGGCTGGAGATCACAAAAAATTTAGAAAACAACAAATATGCTTTAAATTGTTAAAATATACTGCATTTAAATTATTAAATTTTCAAAGTTCAAAATATTAGTGTAATTATTTTTAATTTGAAATATGGTATAATAAAAATTATATACAAAAAATATTGTATATTTATTAAATAGTTCAATTAAAAAATAAAATATTTTATTATTATTATTTTTAATGGAATGGATATTCGAATATTCTAAAGTATTGAAAATTAAAAAAAAAAAACAACAACAACAACATATTCCTTTATTTTAATATTTTAGTATTTAATAAAAATATATTTTTATGAAAATTATTTGAATATTCGTAAAACAATTGAATTTCATGAAGTTTTTTCAATAAATATATTTTGAAATACTGAAAATATAAATAAGATTTTTTTTATTTCGAATTTATAAAATATTAACTTTGGAAATAAAATATATACATGTGGTAATTATTTAATGATTGTGTAAATGTAAAATAGGAAAAAACTTAAAAACATCCATAAATAAAAATGCCACATATTCAATTGAAGAATCCACCTCATCAATTGAACTCCAACTAAGTAATTTTGACAAATGACATCATCATTTGCCACATGTCAATCATTGAGGGCATAGATCCTCTTTTTATATTATATATAGATTAGTTTTATTTACGTAGTAAAATTTATAATTCAAACAAATAGATTAAGAGTTAACCAATCGAATTTCTATCTTTATCTCTTAAGATTTGACTTTTGAGATATATTCATAAAAAATAGAAGATTGAAGCTAGAAGGATTCTTCACGGTTCAGTGTCAATTTTGATTTATAGAAAAATATAGGTAGAAAATTAGCACATAAAAATATTAGAAATAAATAATTACAGGAATGCCATTAGGGTTTCTTAGGGTTGCCCAGC